AACTAATATATTATGTAATTAAGAAGCATTGGTAGCAACTTACTGGCTACCAATCCTTTTAGAGACCAAGTAGTTAGAAGTTCAAATCCCCTTGGCCACCTTAGGAGGGAAAAAAAAAAATTCTCACCTTCATCTAGCCATCACTGGTGGTGTTTCGCGAATGATGACAATGGGGGATTTTTTTCAAAAACTTATATGTGAGGGTATTTTTATCTTTTTACCATAAATTTTAATTACATTTTGGTCCATTAGTCCTGTAGAGCAATTTCAGAATTCTTTGATCATTTATTGTAATAAATGTGCTTTTCAAGTCCTTGGATGTGATTTTTCCATCTAAATATGATTACAAGGCTAACTTCTCAAATATGCATTGTTTTGTGACTAGTGGCAGATAGGGGTGTGCAATTAACTCAGTGACCTGGTAGGCTTGATCTTACCTGTAACATCTTGATTTTTATATAATAAAAAAATTGTGGAATTTAGGTTTTGAGGATAAAAAAATGATAATAATAGGAATTTATATTATTTGAGGTTATTTAGAAATAATATTATGGTTAGGTATTTAATTATGAATTAAAAATTTAAATTTAAAACCACATAAGCAATATTTAGTTAAGATATAATATATAAATAATTTTTTTATGTGTGTGTTAAAAAAAAAGAGAAGGTAGAAGGAACAAAAAAAGGGGGGTGGAAGGTTGTTGTTTCTAAGTCTCACATTGGTTAAATGTGGGAAGAAAAGAGGTGCCTTCATGTATAAAAAGGAGGGGGTATGTGCATTAGGAAGCATGAAGGGCTAAGATGCAATTTGAAAGAAATTGTAACTTTTGGCCTAAGAGTTTGAATAATTAAATTCAAACCTATAGTTTTTTTTAATATAGTTGTGGGACCCACAATCTCATTTTTATATTATTTTTCTCTTTTCCTCTCACGTTGCTCGGCGTGTTCTCGCAGGGGGGATTATTTTTTTCTTCAGGTATGCTCCAACTTTCCTGTTTAGATTAGCATTTAAAAAATTATTTAACTACAAAATTAATTTTATAGCTATTTTTAAATAGTATTAGCTTTTTAGTGATATGATTATTTTGTAGAATAGAGCAAATATTTTGATTAGGATTTTCTATAGGATAGTTAATCTGATAATATGATGGATGAAAAATATAGGTTGAAGTTCTTAGGGATATAATAAATAATATAAAATATTTTTTTGAGGTTAAAACGCATGTTTAAGAATTTTTGAATTAAATTCTAGATCTATATGGTTGAATTTATGTTGAATATGATATGTAGGGATGAACATCTGATTATTAAATATTTATTTAAGTATGAATAGGTATTTTTGAGGTTATAGAAAGGTAATTTGAGGCTTCAGGATAATTTTGAAATTTTTAATTTATTTTGGATGAATTTTTAGAATATAGAAGGATGAAATTGTGATACTAGAAGTGATTTGAGGCTTAAAAATAATTTATTAGGGTACGAGAATTTTAGAAAAAATTTGGAAAGTTAAATGAGGCATAAATCTTAAATTGGTGTTAATATAGATTATAGATCTAAGACTTTCTAACTCTTTAAATTAGAGTTATTTATTTTAATGTAAAATTAATATATAGTATTATGAAATAACTATATAGATTGTGTTGACAAAAATAGTGGTGAAAGAGGACTTGTGAAGGGGCACTTGTTATTTAAGACACAAGTTAACCATGATTAATGTGTTGTGATGAGTGTGTTTGTGAATGGTTATGTATTTTTTTGTTGTTTAGAAAAATTATGAATTATTAAAAATAAATACTATTATATACTTGTTTGAAATTATTGCCAAGTGGGTCAAAAACTTATTTTTGTTTATCATGATGAGATATTATTATTCGGATATATTCCTGTTTGGATATTTGAATAATGCATAACTTGTTAGGGTATTTTAATATATAGTGTTAATGGGAATTTCTGTTTGGTTAATTATTACCACGTGGTAAGCCTTCATTAGACCCAATGAGTGGTGTGTTGCTTGGTCCAACTCACCTTTGGTCGGGTGATTTGGCGTCCGAGCATGACAAAAGGAAGATATAAGGTGCAGTCATGCAATTAAATACTTGTTCGGTTTGTTTGAAAATATTGTTCGGTTAAATGTTTTGTGTGCCCACTTAGCAATCGCATGATTAGTTACATCCGCATGCATCATTACATATTAATTTTTGATTACTGGGACTTTTAAGTCTCATCCCCCGTGGTTAACATTTTTACAAAAGCGAGTCCGGCTGAGAAAGCACCAGAGGCATAACTTTGGTGTATGAGACACCATCTTTTACGTTGCCTCTCATTTTATATTATGCAATGTATCTTGTGCCAACCTAGGACATATCTTATTTTGACAACATGTAAACTCTAATCCTTTTTATTAAATACATTTATATGACCAAGAGGATTATGTTTGTCCCTCTTGATTCATGACCTGATTTGAATATATATCATGAGGATCTTGTTTGTCCCTCATAGTTCTAATTGCTTTTTAAAATATTTTAAGACCTGTGGTATATTGTCTTGGATATATCATGGTAGAAATTTTTCTACCATGATAAGGGTATGATAAGGGTTCAATGAAAAAAAAAATGATTTGTTGAATTAATAATTTGTGAAAAATCGGTTTGTAAATTTGAGGATGTTACATTACCCAATTTCTTGGGTTGGTCTTGGTGATCGAGTCGAGCTACACCTTAGGTTTAGTCTAAGCCTGATCTTATTTGGCCTAGTATATGTATGTGTTATATGTTATAATAAATAATCACTAGTATTAATTTTTTTATGGATCATACACAAATAAATTACTTTGTTGTTATTACGAAACTTTTAAAAAATTAATTTATTATTTTTATTTAAAATTTTAATTTGATTTTTTTAACTTATATAATGTAAAAATGTGAAAAAAAAATTTAAAATATTACTTTTGATCAAAATATTATTTTTTAAGGAAATATTTTAGATGGACATAATTTAATATATAAATTTATTTGTTATTTTATTTTAAAAATACAAGACCCTGGCTTGGTCTTGTATTTTAATTGTTACTTTTGACTAAAACCTAATTTTTCTATATCGAGTTGGCTCAGTCATGGACTTACTATATAAGAACTTGGCACCAAGTTGATAATTAACTTAGTCTTGCCCAGTCTTTGTGCCCCCTCGTAGGGGTGTTTGATTTTAGTTTCTAACTTTTTTTTTAAAAAAACAAGGGCGTATTTTGTGGGCTGGTATGGAGTTGGGTTGGGATTTCTCAACTTGCATATTTGGTGGACTAGCCTACACGTAGTCCACAAAACACTAGCTTGCTAGTTGGCTTGTTGCTCGTGTGCACAGCTATTTAACACATTAAAAGTTGGGAAAATGACAACTAGGGACTTTATGAGAATATTAATAACAATTACAAACCTTGAATTATTGAAATCATAATAATAGATCATAGTTCTTACTTATAATTAAAAAATGTAAATAGTTTTTTTGGCCTAATAAAAAAATGTGAGTAGTTAGCTAGGAAATCTACCAAATATACTTGGAATTATTTGTAATTTCAGTTGGAAATTTACAAAACTCAATTATTAATCTTTATTTTTTTATTGTCAATATGCAGATAAATCATTAAGAATTATTTTTAAGACTAGTTGAAAATTTACTAGAATTAATTGTGAATTGCATGCCCATCACTTATAATTTTTTTTCCTATCAATATATAGATAAATCATTTAAAAAATCTACTAAATAAATTTGTGATTATTTTTAATGTCAGTTGAAAATTTATAAAAATTAGTTGTGAATCATAAACTAATTACTTGAAATTTTTGCTATCGTTTGAAAAATTAATAAAAGTTAATTGAGAATTTTTATAGCATTAGTTGGAATTTACCAAAATTTATGGAAATATCAAATCAATCAACAAAAAATAATTTATTATAAATAAGAATTATGGCCTGTTATTGTGATTTTAATAATTTAGATTTTATAATTATTATTAATTTTCATAAGATCCTTAATTATTATTCTCTCTTAAAAGTTTAAATAAAATTTCTATAAAAATCTTATTTATCATGATTGACTTGTTTTCGCACGAAGAGGATGACAAGAAAAGTATTTTTCCCCCTTCTTGAATGAAGATAGATTTTTAATAAAAAATGATTACAAGCTAATCAGGTGGGGTAAAAGAAAAGCTTTTGAGAAACAACCCAAGAATGTTATAATCTATCTAATCTAACATCTAATGGTACAAGATATTATCAGATAGTCATTTACAAAATTTAAAAATATAAATAAAATGTATTTTTCACCAGTTGGGATAATTAATTTTTCATTTAAGTAATTAATCTTAATGATTAAAATGTAATTAATTTTTGACCTAAACATTATCATTATTATTATTATTATTTTGATAATAACCTACTCCCTCCGTTTAAAAATATAAGGCATTTTTAATCGAATCTCATCCTCAATAAAATAGTTTTTTACTTTTAAACTAATCTTATCTTTTTTATATTTATCCCTATTAAATACCCTATAATAAATATAAAGTCAACAGGGGCATTTTTGGTAAAAAATAATAATTATACCTTAAAAAATTAAAAATAACTTAATTTTGAACATTCAATTCTTTAAAAAATATCTTATATTTTTTAATTAAGAAAGTATATTTTATTTTAAGGGGCTATTTAAAACTGTTTTTATTTTATTATTCTGAGAATTAGTGGTTTGTAGAACATATTTTGAAAAAAAAATAATGAAAATAGATATTTTTTTCATTTTTCTTTGTTCTTCAAAATAATAATCACAAAATATTTAAAAGTTGTTTCCATTTTTCTGTTCTTTAAAATAATATTTTATTTTTTTTTTAAAATATTTTTTAAAATTACACTATTAAATAAATTTTCTTATTTTTTTATTTTAAAAAATAAAAAACTGTGAACAAGTTTTCAAACGGGTCCTAATATTATCCCAATCGGCCAAAACTATTATCCCTGGCATTACTGGGGAGCCCGGCAAAACAGTCTCGTAGTAGAGGATCCGTTTTTCTTTGACGAGCAAGCATTCCATACTCCGTGACGCCGTCCACAGTTAGCAGCCCTGCGTGGTTGTTCTTGGGCAAGTCGTGAAGAAGGTTCGAAACCTAGGGCTTCGTCTACTCCGAAAATCCGGTTAGATTGATTTGTTTAATCTGGCTTTGAATCTATATTTGAATTTGTTCCCCGCCTTTTCTTTTCCCTGCGCGATTGTTGTTGCTTTGTTTTAAAGTTTTTACAATCAGGATAACTAAAAATTAGGAAGAAAAACTTTCCTCAAGAAATACATGAGAATGACACAAGAAACTGACTAAAAAAGGAAACGAATAAAACATAATAAAAACAGAAAAAAAAAAAAACAGAGAAGGAGCGAAGGCTGAGTAAAACACAAAGTATTATAAATCATCCCCAGCTTGCTTCTTAATCCTTCAAATTGAACTCTGGCCAGAGGCTTTGTCATAATGTCAACTATTTCATCAGCTGAGCATATGTAGGATAGGTCAATAAGACCTCCTTCCACTTGTGCTTATCAATTTCAACATGTTTGGTTTTGTCATGGCACACAGGATTCTTGGTCATCTCAATGCTGGCCTTGTTATCACACCTTAGCTTCGTAGGGCCATCATATGAAGGCTTCAATTCCTTTAGCAGTCCAGTAATCCATATTTCTTCGCAGATTTTGAGTGCAACAGCTCTAATCTCAGATTCAGCACTGCTTCTTGAAACAACTGATTGCTTTTTACTTCTCCAAGTAATCAAGTTCCCGCACACATATGTGCATTTTCCAGTGGTGGATATTCCTTGCTCTGTATGGACTTCTATATTCCTGGCTCTATGCTGTTAAAAGATGCCTCTCTCGGGGTTTAGTTTAAATATCTCAATATTCAGTAAACAACTTCCATGTGCTCACAACTCCGAGAGAATAATTAATATCCGGATGGGTGTGAGTCAAGTATGTTAGTTTTCCCACAAGTCTTCTATACCTTTCAGAGTCTACAGCTACATTATTTGGCTTAATTTGTATGTTACATGAGGCTTCCATAGGTGTCTCATCTGGTCTTGCACCAAGCGTTCCCTGTTTCTCGCAACAGGTCAAGAGTGCACTTTTTGGGGGTCACATTTATCCCTTTTCTGGTCATTGCCACTTCCATAACTAGGAAATACGTCATTTATCCAAGGTCTTTAACTTGGATTTTAGATTGAGATTAGATATTGATTTGGGTGATAAAATTTATTGGTTTGGTCCAGATTTGGTGATCTTATTTTTTCTATAAATAAGAAAGAAGTCCCTAGGCAGAGAAGTATATTGGAGTCCTTGTATCCAGGAGATTCTCCTTGGGCTATTAGGGAGCATTTGAATGAGATTCTTGCTCACTGGTTGCATGTAGATGTTGCGTTGAATAGAATTCCTTTCTTTCATCTGTTCTTACCATATATTTCTAGGTTGAGTATGCATTTTTCTTACATTTTGCATTTTGGTTCAATCATTCTTTTTGCAGACAAGTTCATGCAGAAAAGTTGAATCAAACAATACCAACTTTCTTCTTTGGACTTAGAAAAGGGAACTACAATGATGTGTAGAATAGGAAAGAATAGAGAAGAATAGGAGAGAAACGAGAGATAGAAGGAAAGAGAGAGAATTTCTGAATAGTACTCTGAAATATTATTTCAATCATACCGAACAATTACATAGTCTCTTTATATAGGTTCCCCTAGGGTGTTGAATAGGATTAATGGTCACGGTCTAATGGTAACTAACCGTTTCTGAATTATCCTCTAATTATCTAGTTTACGAATCAATACCCCCCCTCAAGAACCCTTGACCTCAAGGGTTAGAAGTGACAAAACTAGGGTGCTGTTTCTGTAACTGAAACAAAGAAATCCAGCTAGCCTCTTCATCTGGAAGGTTCTTCCATTTCACAAGAACTTCCGTAATAATCCTGCCTTTTCTTCTACCCCTCTGTTCATTCAATATTTTGTCTGGAATCAAATCTGAAGGAGATTCTGGCCAATCAATAGGGGGATGCTGCTGCTTTACTGAAGGATCAGTGCATAATTTGAGCAATGAAACATGCAAAGTAGAGTGAACCCTTGATTTTGGAGGTAATTCCAGCTCATATGCCACTGGCCCTATCTTCTTACAGATTCTATAAGGCCCAAAATATCTTGGAGCTAATTTTTGAGAGCTTCTTGAGGCTGTAGAAATCTGACGATAAGGCTGTAATTTAAGAAATACCCATTGTCCTTCCTCAAACTCTCTATCACTTCTGTGCAAATCTGCTTTTTGCTTCATTCTATTCACAGCCCTATTGAGATGATATTTCACCATTGCTAAAGTCTCTTCTCTTGCTGAAAAAGTTCTGTCAACAGCTTCCACTACCACATCTCTAGGCAAATATGGAATATGCATACGAGGAACCTGTCCATACAACAGTTCATAAGGAGTAGTTTTTGTAGAAGTGTGATAGGATGTGTTATACCACCACTCTGCTAAAGAAAGCCATTTGTGCCACTCCTTAGGTCTTTCCTAGCACTACACCTCAGATAATTTTCCGAACAACGATTAAGCACCTCTGACTGCCCATCTATTTGTGGGTGATACGAGGAGGTAAGCTTCTGTTCCACTCCCAAAACCTTCAAAGATTCCCTCCAAAAATTACTGATAAAGAGGGGATCTCTATCGCTAATAATCTCGACCAGTGACCCATGCAATTTGTACACATGGTCTAAAAATTCCTGTGCCAAGGTAGATGCTGTAAAAGGATGAGATAAAGACAAAAGTGAGCATAGTTACTAAAATGATCAATGATCACCCAAATAGTGTCTTTCCTATTTGATTTGGGCAACCCATCTATAAAATCCATAGTCACACTCTTCCAAACTCGACTTGGAATAGGTGGAGGCTGTAGCAACCCTGGGTAAGCCACTGATTCAGACTTACATCTTGCTATCACAGTGCCTTACAAACTCCTTGATGTCATCAAATAATTTTTGCCACCAAAATAACTTTTTGACTCTTTGATAAGTAGCTTGTACACCTGAATGTCCTCCTTGTGGACTTGCATGAAGCCATTCCAATATTTTCTGCCTTACACTTGGAATATTTCCCACCACTAATCTGCCATTCCTTCTTAAATGCTGACCATCCCAAGAATAGTTGCCTTCTACATGTCCCTTCTGTTGCAAATGAGCTTTTAAAGCTTGCAAATCAACATTCTCATCCCAGCTCTTTTGGATTTCCAGAAAAAGGAAATCTGAACAAGTCTGCAAAGACACATGGAAAAACTCACTTTTTGGCATCCTTGAAAGAGCATTAGCTGCATTATTATCGTTGCCCCTTCTATAATGTATTTCATAATCGTATCCCATAAGTTTAGTCACCCAATACATTTGAAATGCAGTTTGAAGCTTCTGATCTAACAAGTATTTAAGACTTTGCTGATCAGGTTTAATGATAAACCGCCTTCCTTCAAGATATTGATGCTAATGTTCCATAGCTTGTACTACCCCCAACAATTCCTTCTCATAGATAGAGAGATTCAGATGCCTAGGAGCCACAGCCTTGCTGAAAAAGGCAATAGGTTGACCCCTTTGCATCAGAACAGCACCAATGCCCGAGCTACAAGCATCAGTCTCAACCACAAACACTTGCGAAAAATCTGGAAGAGCAAGAACAGGGGCTGCCACCAGTGTTTCTTTCAACTTTTTGAATGTAACAACAGCCAATTCTGACCAATGAAAATTATTCTTCTTGAGCAGTTCAGTTAGGGGCTTAGTTAAGGAACCATAACCCCTAATAAACCTCTTATAATAACCCGCAAGTCCCAAAAATGATCTTAGTTGTTTTACTGTGGTTGGTTCAGGCCAATCCATGACTGCTTTGATCTTCTTGGGATCAGTTGAGACAACTCCTCCACTTATAATGTGTCCCAAATATTCTACTTGTGTTGCAGTGAAAGTACACTTGCTTTCCTTCACAAAAAAACAATTTTTCCTTAGAATTTCCAGAACCAAACGCAAGTGTCGTGTGTGAGATTCTAAACAGGGACTATAAATCAAAATATCATCAAAGAAAACTAAGACAAATTTTCGTAAATACTCCCTGAATATACTATTCATGGCACTCTGAAAAGTTGTGGGTGCATTAGTGAGCCCAAAAGGCATCACTAACCACTCATAGTGACCCGAATGAGTATGAAAGGCTGTTTTATAGATGTTTGTAGGCTCCATCCGAATCTGATGATAACCAGCCCTTAGATCCAGCTTAGTGAACCATTTAGCAGCCCTTAATTCATCCAAAAGCTCTTCCACAAGCGGAATAGGGTATTTATTCTTGACTGTCCTCTTGTTAAGTTCTCTATAATCGATGCACATGCGCCATGATCCATCTTTCTTTTTCACCAACACAATTGGTGAAGAAAATGGTGAGCTACTTTCTTGAATGATTTGAGATTGTAATAGCTCCTTCACCATGTCTTCAATGGCATTCTTTTGAGTTGCTGGATATCGGTAAGGCCTTAAGTTGACTGGATCAGAACTTTCTTGTAAAATAATAGGATGGTTGTGGCCCTCTCTCAAAGGGGGAAGAGATTTAGGCTCCTTGAATACATCTGAAAATTCCAGCAACAATCCTTGAACAGCTTTTTCAGAACCATTCTCCCCCTGCAACTGAAAATAACATAGCTCTTCATCCTCCTTTTCCACTAATTGTAGCATAAACATCTGTCCTCCAGCTTCTAATTCATTTTTAGTCTTTTTAAAATCAACAATTTTACACCCTATAGATCCTAGAGACTGCAATTTACATATTTTCCCATTATACCAAAAGGTCATTGACAATTTGTCATAATCCCAATGAGCCTGATGGATGGTTTTAAGCCAAGATAAACTTAAAACCATGTCATAGGTCTTGACTTCCATTATTTGCAAGTCTCCTTTGAACTCCTCACCCTGCATCTTCCACTTCACCCTCTTTAAAATCCCATATTCTTTCAATTTTCCACCCCCTGCCACTTCCACTTTTGCCACAGGTTTGAAATTTCCCTTTCAACCAAGCTTCCTAGCCAAGTCACAGTCCATGTAGGCATGAAAAGCTCCGTTATCTATGAGAATTTGTACTTGCCTTCGACCCACATATCCTATGTTTCTCATAGCAGAGGGTCTCACACTTCCTTGTATGGCATGTAGTGAAATTTGCAAACATTCAGAGTCCTCTAGTACATATTCAAATTTTTTTGGTGCTTCAACTTCTGGATTCATGTCCTCGTCAGCTTCCTTGAATGCCACCTCTTCCAATTCAGCGAGTTGCAACTGCATCCTTTGAGTTTGAGAACATATATGGTCCTTGGAAAAAGGTTGCTGACAGTAGAAACATACATTTTTGGCTCGTAATTCCTTTACTTCTTCTAGGGTTAGCGTTCGTGTGTTGCTGGAATTTATTCTTGAAGACCCAGCACCTGCGTGAGAAGAAACAGAGGCAAAAGAAGCTGTCTTGGGTGCGAAAGAAAGAGAATTTGAGGATTGAACCGTTTTACCCTTACTAAAAGAAGACCCAACACTGCCAGATGGAGTCTTCACATCTCTCCACCTAGTTGACCCTCTCTGCTCACTTGGATAAGTATCCAAGACACCCCTTGCAGTCTCGACTCTGAGTTTCGAACCTACTGAAGCTGATGTTGTCTCGAATCCGTGCCACGCATCTTCGTCTGTGCTTTCTGACAATTCACCTCATGCGTACGTGCTATATTTCTCGCTTCTCATAACGTTCTTGGTTGAAACATTCGAACCTGAGTTGCAAATTCTTCCTCCAAGCCTGCTATATATGTTTGAACTAGATAGTCTTCTAAAAGTCTAATCTTGCAAGTGATGGCATCAAACTCATCATCGAATTCCTCAAGAGAACCTATTTGTCGAAGCTTCATGAGATCTTCCATGGGAGCCTTATAGGTGGGTCTGAATCTCTGCTTCAGTTCTTCGACATATTCCTCCAAGTCCATCGGCCACTTTCGTCTGATGCAGTGAGTCCTTGATGCCATTGCCATGCCTTCTCATCAAGGTGTAAACTTGCCATAAGCACCTTCCAATTTTCAAGTGTGTTGTCTATTTGAAAATAGAATTCACACTTCAAGATCTATCCCACGATATCACTTCTTTGGAGTCTGGGAAACTCCATTTTTGTAAAATGCGTGAGGTTGGTACTCATGGTTTTCTGGTCTTGGTCGTCCTCTGCGCTGATTATGACTTGCACGTCCTTCATCGAATGTATCAGTACGATCACGTACTATCTGAGCAACTTGACTGGTGGGAGCTTGCACGTCACTTGGGAGATTAGCCAACTCATTGTTATCTGCCATGGTATGTTGCAATCTCTGTGATCTCGTTTTAGGCATACAGGTCGAGCACTGCCAGCTCTGATACCACTGATGTGTAGAATAGGAAAGAATAGAGAAGAATAGGAGAGAGATGAGAGAGATAGAAGGAAAGAGAGAGAATTTCTGAATAGTACTCTGAAATATTATTTCAACCATACTGAACAATTACAGAGTCTCTTTATATAGGTTCCCCTAGGGTGCTAAATAGGATTAACGGTCACAGTATAACGGTAACTAACTGTTTCTAAATTATCCTCTAATTATCTAGTTTACACATCATACAATGTATAGATAAAAAGAAAATTAGTTGTGCTTGATAAATCCTTGTGAGAGATAAAAAGAAAATTATAATCATTGTTATTTGAAAAAATTAGTATAGAATTGGTTATTCTAATTTTTGTACAATTTGTTTTTCAAATAATAGATTAAAAATAATTTCTTTTATGTTAGTTCAAAGTTGGTGAATTGTATTATACATATTTATTGGTTGAACTTTTACTAGTGCCTGGAACGAGAGAATCACAGTCTTGAATAGTTTGATTTTCACTCTTAATTTTGCTGTTCATCTGATGGGGTTTTCTTTAGAATTCTTAATTTGAAGCTCTAATGGGGTCATTGAAGAGGAAGTTTCTTGAAGATGAATCTGATGAAACTTGCCCTTCGCAAAGACAACAGGGAGAATATGCTTCAGAATTGGTTGATGAACCTGTGGCATGTGTGCATGATGTTTCTTACCCAGAGGGTTTTGTTCTGTCTCCTCAGTCCATAGCTTCACATCATTCTGACCCTGCCAAAAAGTTCCCTTTCACTCTTGACCCTTTTCAGTCGGAAGCTATCAGTTGCCTTGAAAAAGGCGAATCTGTCATGGTACTTTCCTAATAGGGAAGATGTAAAATCAGTCCCAAAGTTCTTATTATTTTGATTGTTTTGGGTAAATCTTATCTATCTTTCTTGTAGATAATTATTTTCTGGTGCTGCAAATTTCTTATAGGTATCTGCGCATACATCTGCTGGAAAAACAGTTGTCGCGTTATATGCTATTGCTATGTCTATTCATAATGGACAACGAGTGATATACACTTCACCTATTAAGGCACTGAGCAATCAGAAGTATAGAGAGTTTAAAGAAGAATTTTCTGATGTTGGTCTGATGACTGGAGATGTAACAATTGATCCCAATGCTTCTTGCTTGGTGAGTCATTTGTTTAAATTTAAATTGTTACTGGAGCCACACTGTACAATTTACTCGTATAAATGGATTGTTATGTCTTTGTATATATTTCAGGTGATGACTACAGAAATCTGGCGTAGTATGCAGTACAAAGGATCAGAGGTCACAAGGGAGGTGGCTTGGATCATTTTTGATGAGGTACATTACATGCGTGATCGTGAAAGAGGTGTGGTTTGGGAGGAGAGCATTGTCATGTCGCCCAAGAATTCCCATTTTGTTTTTTTATCTGCGACTGTGCCGAATGCAAAGGAATTCGCTGATTGGGTTGCCAAGGTGATATGCACTTGCTTAGATCTTCTGATAGTTGGTCTATACATGTAGAGCAATTTCTCAGCATTAATGCATTAGAGACAATTCATATACTCAGACCTTTTGACTAGGACACTCTAATACATCATTTAGATGCAGACATAACCTTATTTGCAAGTTATTTTCTTCTCTCTCTCCCCCACTTCTCTCCTCTACTCTCATTTTATTTATTTATTTATGTGTGAAAATAGGGTCGGGAATGATTTGATAATGGAATGAGCACTTATTTGATCAGCGAAAAAGACTGCAGTTATATATAGAGTCATTTCATAGTCTTGAAAGTGTATTTACAACTTGTCACTAGTTTATGTCATTTAGTATGTTCGGATTTTGGGCTTAAACTGGTCACATAAAGTTTGTGTGTGTGTATATATTTGAGTCCTGATTTCTTTTTACAGTTTATCTGCTTTTTTTCTCGATTAAATCACCAATGACCTCATTCATTTATAATAATCTAATGGGAAAAATTAAATGCATCGATAATTCTATTTGGAGTTTCAATGTCTTTTAGAAGTTTATCTGCAACATCTTGCGGTTAATTTTCACGGGTTTGACCTTTTGTTGCATTTAAATTTTTGGCTCTTTAATGAGATTTTGAAAGCTTGAATCGTTGGCACTTGAAATTAAAATTTATTACACCATCTATTTGTATCGGGCATAAAAGGAGTTGTGACTGGGTAGTATTTTTCACTAATTAATTATAGCCAACTGAATTATGTCTCACTTTTATGGGGATCATATAGATAGGTGGCCTGATTTGGTAGATTACTTGCAGGTGCACCAACAGCCTTGTCATATTGTTTATACTGATTACCGACCAACTCCTCTCCAGCATTATATTTTTCCTTCTGGAGGTAATGGTCTGTACTTGGTTGTGGATGACAAGGGAAAATTTCGTGAAGACAGTTTTCAAAGAGCTTTAAATGCCCTCATTCCCAATAATGAGGGTAATAATAAAAGGGAAAATGGCAAGTTGAAGGGCTTGGCCCTAGCTAGAGTTGGTGAAGAAAGTGACATATTTAAGATGGTGAAAATGATCATTCAGCGCGAATATGATCCTGTTATACTTTTCAGCTTTAGCAAACGAGAGTGTGAGCTACTTGCAATGCAGGTGACAACTTGCTTTTGCAATTTTTTTTTTTTAATTGATGGCCTTCCTCTTTAGATCCTTAGTTTTCTGCTGGTTATCTGCTGAAACAGGCTACTGAAGGATGTTTCTGATCCTAAGCTGCATTACATTTGGTGTAACAAGTTGAACTAATTTCCTGTCCTAAGCTTGATCTTCCTTATGGGTTTTGTTTTCTTCTTATTTAGATGGCAAAAATGGACCTTAATGGGGATGATGAAAAGGAAAACATAGAAAGAATCTTTTGGAGTGCTATGGATATGCTTTCAGACGATGATAAGAAGCTACCTCAGGTAAGTTACATTCTCAAGTTCTCTCTGTCTCTCTAAACTACATATTTTAATTTTTTTGTGCACATTGCCATCTCTAATGCACTTTTCTGATATTTAGTGCATCTGGGATTGTTGAAACCAGAAAATTTAGGTTCTTATACGAGTTTGAACTAAATGGAGCCAATTGTACAAGGAAAGGCATGAGTTAAAGACAAATTGGGTAGTTCTTTTGCACTTTGTAGTTTAGAAAGCAGGGCATGATTGGGCGGTGTAATAATTGGGATTTAATCAATTAAGTTTAGAAATTTAAGTGTCTGTTTGGTGGTTGTGTGGCTTCTTTAAACATTATTTACAATAATGGGATTGGGCTTGATGGGCTGTTTGGCAAATTCTAGCAAGGAACACGTTTCTTAGTTTCTGATGTGAAACAGAGCAAGAGATGAAGACCAGAGCAAGGGCTGAATCAGTGTTATTCACTTAATCTGATCAGACATGACATGCAGATGGGGATGATTGATGAGTATAGAAGCCACACATCTTATCTGTAACATAAAGTGAACTTTTAAATTTAAAACAAACTACAATATCTTATCCTATCTATGGAATAACAGAAAAATAAATTGTAAGAATGAGTAATGCTTTTAGAAATCTAATTTAATAGCTATCATGTTATAGCTGAGAAGAATTCTCCGATAGGGGGTATGCAAACTGAGAATGAGCCATTAATACCAAGGCTCCTCTCTCTTGTATATATTCCAGTCCTCAGAATGAATACTAGCCACATTCAAATAATATTTGTCTAGACTCTATACCATCAAAAATTTTTAGTAATCCTAGAAGATTCCACAAACTAAATCTGCCTTAATTTAAAAGTAAACATATATATATAAATTGTTTGAACTTTGGTCTTTATTCATTATTGGATGGTGTCTGCATTAAAGAACTGCATTATTCTTGTAGAGTACCTTCATTGTACCTTTATAATTGTATGCTTTTGTATATGGATGTGTTAGTCAATTTTCTGGTGTATAATTTATTATAGGTTTCAAACATGTTGCCCTTGCTGAAACGTGGAATAGGAGTACACCACTCTGGCTTGCTCCCAATTTTGAAGGAAGTGATTGAGATTTTATTTCAAGAAGGGCTAATTAAGGTTAGTAGAAAAAGTAATTGGATAAGAGGTTTTACTTGTTATGTGTATGTTGATTTTTTGTAAATAATTTTAGTTTCACTAAATGCTTAATTTATTTATTTCATAGTTGTTAAAATGTCTTATTAAATGCCGGCATAATGAGTGTCTTAGTAGCCATAATAGAATCTATTGCCAAGCATGATAGGCTATTTGTCTTGTTCATTAACCTTTAATTTTTCTTTTCTCTTTAATATCTGTTGGAAGTGGGCTTGCTTAGGCCCATTAGAAGTGTCTTACCTAAGTTACCTAATATAACCTGATTATTAGAATTTTTTCATTTTATGTTTTATATCGTCCACCTAGTGGGATAAAGGCTTTTTGTTGTTGTATGTTTTATATCCTCAATTATATGGATTTTCCTGTTTTAGTTTTTGTTTTTCTGATACGATCAGATTTGATTGTCCCTCCTACATCTATATGTACTCGATTATTCTTCAGTAGAATACACAGAAAAACTTACTCAACCTCTAGCAATATTGATATGATGAATTCAAAACCACCTACATATCAATAAGAAGCTTCTCCTCAGTCCTTTTTTCCTCAGTGAAATTATTCTTCATATCTGATCTGCTAACATCACTCTTTCAGATTTTGGTACAATCATGTTATTTCATCAGTTTTTTTTTAAACAAACAAATCATTGACATGGTATATTCTGAAATGTACTGAAATATATCTTTTTTTTTAGTGTTTGTTTGCCACGGAGACCTTCAGCATCGGTTTGAACATGCCCGCAAAAACAGTTGTTTTTACAAATGTCCGAAAATTTGATGGGGATAAATTTAGGCGGATATCCAGTGGTGAATATATACAGATGAGTGGTCGTGCTGGTCGACGAGGTATTGATGAACGGGGAATTTGTATCCTCATGGTTGATGAGAAGATGGAACCTTCTACTGCTAAAATGATGGTTAAAGGTGCAGCTGACAGTTTAAACAGGTGAATTGCTTATTACTGTGTACAGCATGCATTGCACAATGGTGCTGCTAGATAATAGTTGTTAACTTTGACAGACTTTGGTTATTGTGTACAATAGCTCTGGATTTGCTTTCTTAAATTTTAAATATTATTTATATTTCATTTCTTTAATATAAGTATTGTTGAAGGCAGCATACTCATTTTCCTTATTAGTCTGCTTATGAACTGTTTTTTTAGGTCCTAGTTTTCAATCCCTTTATGCCTCGTTTGGTATGTTGGAATTGGGACTAGAGAAGTGGAACTCTAAAATTTGCTTGTTTATTACACTGGAACCCAATTCTTGAAGGAACTCAACAACAACAACAACAACAAGCCTTTATCCCACTAGGTGGGGTCGGCTACATGGATTGCAAGACGCCATTGTGCTCTATCATTTATCAAGCTTTTAGGAATATTATTAATTAAGAGATCGCGTTCAACAACTTCCAAGAGTGTTCTCTTAGGCCTTCCTCTACCTCTCTTAATCGGACTCAAAGTTATATGTTCCACTCTTCTCACTGGTGCTTCCCTTGGTCTTCTTTGTACATGCCCAAACCATCTCAATCGATTTTCTATCATTTTTTCCTCAATAGATGCCACCCTCACTTTTTCACGTACGTGCTCATGTCGAATTTTATCTTTACGTGTATGTCCGCACATCCATCGTAACATTCTCATCTCTGCTACTCCAACTTTATGCTCTTGAAGGAACTCACTTCCACAAAAAATGATAGAAGTGATCCCCCCTAAGAGCTCAGATTCCATTGTTCTCACTTCCATATTTACCCTTCAAGCCTCACTTCAATATTTTTATGTCACTTCCACTTCTGTTTCTATTTCTACTTCTGTTTGAGTATTTTCCGCCTACTTCCATAAAAAACTTTTTCCTGGTACCAAGCAAGGCATTATTTTCAAAATATCTACATAATAAGTTAATTTATGTTTCCCTATGTTCCCTTGACCTACGTGTTGGGATCTGATCCATCTACAATAATCATAGCCCTTTTATAAATTGTGCACTGCATTCTGATTTGTTAAAAGATGGTGGAATCAATTCAAAGACCTTCATTTTTCCACATGGTATTAGAGTTGTGGTAGCCATGCATTATCCACAATCAATTTTGGCTCAACATGTGCCCCCTAAACAAGTCATCTAGATTCAAGATCTTGGTCTTCTGGTGGGAAACAATCAAACCAAACCTCTAGCATACATACTACCTAAATACCCCAGAGAGCATCCCTTGCTACTCAATATGGAACTTAGCCATCCCATGCTGCCAAAGTCTCCATAAATTAGCCCCCTGAAAGGACAGCATCTGGCAGTTGTAGTTTGCTACCTTCACTTAGCGATGCCTCACTTGACTTCTCATTGACCAGAGCCTTTCACTAGTCACAACTCTTTGTAGACAGGCATTTTTGAAGCTATCAGTTAGTAGCTTTGATACCAATAGTACTTAAGTGAGATGGGAAACCCTATCCCAAAAGCTTGCCATTGAAATGGGAGAAAATGACCTACTTAAATAGCCCAAAGAGCACCCCATACTACTCAATGTGGGTTTTAGGCACCTCATACTTCATGGATTGAAAGGTTTGAGAAGATATATAAGTCTATCCATTTTTTTTTTTTGGCCAAGATGTAGAAGTCCATTGAAACTTGCGACTTTTCAAATGATTTGTGATAGGAGCCATGTTGATTTTAAATTCCGTGTGAACTTTCTATAAAACAAAGCTAGGCCATGCAAACCACACACTTCAAAAATTAGATTTAGGTTCAATTAGCACTTTAATAGCTCTAACCTTGGGATCGACAACTTCACACTGTGTAGATACTATAAAACCAAAGATAGCAGCCTGATTTTGGGGAAAGGAACTCTTGGGAGTGTTGACATATAGTTTTTCATGAATAGAGAGTGAGGAAAATCTGATATAGATAGTGCAAATGTTCTTCCCAAGATTTGCTATCAATCAATATATCATTAGAGCATGCATTGGGGAACTTCCCTATATATGGCTTAAGATGGGGTTCATGACTCCCATGAAGGTGCTATACCAAAAAGTTTGACTAACCACTCATACTACCCCTCATAGGTGTTAAAGGCAGTTTCCCATTAATGCCCTGGTTGGCCATCTCTTGCCATTCCGCTCTCCCCTAAAAATATCTTCCGAATAATGGGATAAGTCCTTTTTCCGTGCTTCTCTATTCCATTCTATCCAAAACAAAACACCCAAATGCAGCATTAGTTTGTGACACTCAGTAGGCTGGTTGTTAGGGATTAGGTTGTGTTGAATGTGGGCCTTTTATTTTTCTGGGCTTTAGGTCCATTAATGCTTGTAGACCTATTTTTCCTTTTCTGATTGCTGTACAACGTTATTTTCTTTATGGGTTTTACTAGCTTTTATGTTTCAGATATTTTAGGAGTTCAGGGATTTTATTAGATTATTCTCTCCTATTTTCTCCTATATATGCATCGGCTCTTTTCCTTCAATACACGCAGAATTTTTCAGAAATAATTTCAGGTTGCAAGTTTTTTGGCTGATGTGTGTATCAGGATGTGAAACATCTAACACGGATATTTAACCAATGACTGTAGCTTAAGTGCCTTGTGATAAACCTCTTCAAGCTATTCAAGAAAGTTTAATTTTTGCTAGTTTTGATAGCAGACTTACATGGTAAACTCTCTGTGCACACTTCATGGGCCATTTTAAGGTTAATGGGTGAAGATTGAAGGATTAGGCAGGAATATGTGTAATATCAAGGATTTGAAAATGGCAATAAACCCAAAAGAGGGTGAAGTTAGAAGAGAGAGAGGTGAGGGGTGGAAAAATATTGTGAGAGTGTTTGAGACATTCATAATACCTCAAACATTTAGGTACAGTAGCAACAGCAGCAACAAGCTTTATCCCATCAAATGGAGTCGGCTATATGGATTTTACGATTTCATTGTGCTCTATCATTTATCAAAGTTTTAGAAATATTGTTAACTAAAAGGTCTCAATCAACAACTTTTAAAAGTGTCTCTTTGGCCTTCCTCTACCCCTCTTGATAAGGTTTAAAATTATCTGTTCCGCTCTTCTCATAGGTGTCTTCCGTGGTCTTTTTTTTACATGTCCAAATCATCTCAAACGATTTTCTATCAATTTTCCTTCAATAGGTGCGACGCCCACTTTTTCTCATATCTGCTAAAACATTTAGGTAATTTATGATTATTTTCTGTTCATAAGTGTTGCTTTGTATATTATGTTTACATTTCCTAGAATCTGCTTATTTTTCCATCATTTCTTAATGATTACTTACATAGGGATTTCTTCACTTTGTGATGCTGGAAACTCAAATAAATTAAGGAATTGTCTCTTTTGTGTTTCATTAGCTTTTGATGTGGTGTCTTGTTTCATTGATACACCACCAAAAATGGACAATTCAATACTATATTCTCTGTTTCATTTTAAAATGAATTAATATATATTAATTACTTTTCCCTCATTTGCATCAGTGCCTTTCGATTAAGCTACAACACAGTTTTGAACCAGATGTGCTGTGAGGATGGTGACCCTGAAAATTTGCTTCGTAATTCTTTTTATCAGTTCCAAGCTGATCGTGCCATTCCTGATCTTGAGGTTTGTTTGAATTTATGGATGCTTGAAGTTTTAATATTCTTCCCTGTTTATATTTTATGTAATTGAATTGTACATGGACCTTGTGAAACTTTGTCTTTCATTAAATGTGTTACAAGAATGAAAGCAGATGAAGTACCACTGGATGAGGATGAAAAAATTCTTATTAGAAGCACTAACAAAAGAAAACTAGGAGCCAACTTAAGGGGAAAAATGAAGCTGTTTAGTATTACAATTTATTCATGTGAAATTCCTTTTTCTGGTAGTGGCTTCTTGTTTAACTGAGTGGTAGAATGGGAGAATCATGTAACGATATCACTTATACATTGTTACTTCATATTATATTTATGATCTTGGATGGTTTTTGTTCTGCCTGTGAATTTTGCTTTAAGTATGAGGTGTTTGATATACCATTATTTTTTTGATATACCATTATTTTCATCCTTGCATCTGACTTACCTAGGTATTTTTATATTAAATGTTGATGCTTAAGTTTTGAACACAAACATCCAAGATAACCTCCATTTTATTGGCTATTTATTACCACCCCAAATGATGGACACCTGACAACTTTGAATTTTAAATGCTGTGAAAATTTTTATTGCATACTAATTAATGATGCCAGTCCAATGCCTTACCAATACTTAAACTCTAAAGGTTTTTCATGTGTAGAAATGTGTGAGATATTACCAATTAAAGTTGACGTGAGTGGTAAGGGCTCTCATCATTTAAGCAAGTTGTTGGGATTTGAATCCCAATCTTTATGCATGAAGCAATTTAGTTAGGAGAGATCTACCTCTTACCTTTCGTACCTTGAGGGAGATAATTTTTGCTAACTAGCGGAGTCTACTTATTATCCAAAAGAAAAAAGAAAAAGAATCGTGTGAGATATTACTGAAACCAATCATGGGCTTTCAGCTAATCACGTAAACTTTTGCGTTGAAAGTGGTTCTTGACAATGTGAATAATAATACAACAACAAGAAGAATAAGCTTTATCCCATTAGGCGGGGTCGGCTTCATGGATTGCATGACTCCATTGTGCTTTATTATTTACCAAGTTTTTAGGAATGTTGTTAATTAAAAGGTCTCGGCAATAGCTTCCATACGTGTTTTTTTTTTTTAGCCTTCCTCTACCCCTCTTTACACGGCTCAAAATTATCTGTTGTACTCTCCTCACTTGTGCCACTTATGGTTTTCTATATATGTGTCTAAATCATCTCAAATAATTTTCTACTATTTTACCCTCAATACTTTCTCGTATGCTCCGCACATCCATTTCAATATTCTCATATTTGCTACTCCAACTTTATGCTTCTACTGTCCCTTAAAAGCCCAATATTTACTACCATATAATATAGCTGGTCTCATGATTTGATAAAACTTACCTTTAAGTTTATTAGGTACCTTTCAATCACAAATAACTTAGCTTTTTTCCAATCAAATCACCTAGCTTGTATCCTATGTACAACATTTCCATCAATTTCCTCTTCATGTTGAATAATAGCTCCCAAATATCTAAATTGTTCTACTTTAGGTATAATATGATCTCCCAATTTTACTTCCAAAATTACAATGCAGATATTCTATTTTACTCTTACTTAGGTAGAAATCTTTCAACTCCAATGTCCTCTTCCATAACTCAAGTTTGCAGTTAATTTGTTCTCTTATTTTTTCAATAAAAATTATATTATCTGCAAAAAAACATGCATTTAGGGATTTTCTTTTGAATATATTCAGTCAAAACTTCTAAGACTAAGTCAAACAAATAGGGACTCAAAGATGATCTTTGATGTAGTCTAATCCTTATAGGAAAGTTCTTTGCTTTATCGCCAGATGTTCTTATGCTAGTTGTTGCCCCTTCACACATAGTTTTAATATAGGCAACCTGAACTCTTTTCTTCTCCAAGGCTTTCTAAAGTACTTCTCTTGGTATTGAACAATGATATTTTATACTTAGTATCTTGTCCCAAGTAGACAAATATTTTGAAATACAAGAAACCAATGTACTGAACGATTTCTTTGTTTTTTATATGCATTATTCATACTTTCATTTCCATATCATTGCCATTTTTAATCTTAAGTACAACATTTGGGGGTTCTGGGACCCTGCAACAGTGAAACCTAGATATACAGCTCTTGTATGATGTATTTACATTTCATCATGCTACTTTCTTATATTCTGTTCATATTGCTCTTGAAAACTGTTTCATGTTTATCAAAAAAGAAAGCATCCGTTTCCTTGTATTGTTGGTTTGCATTTAAATGCAAACATATTTTTATGTCCAGAAACAAATAAAGGGTCTTGAAGAAGAGAGGGAATCGATTGTGATTGAAGAAGAGGTCAAATTAAAGGATTATTACAATCTGCTGGAGCAGTATAGGCTTCTGAACAGAGAGGTTCGTGACATTGTATTATCTCCAAGGTACTGTTTACCCTTTTTACAGCCTGGCAGGCTCGTGTCTCTCCAATGCAGTTCAAGCAATGAAGATCTTGCCCCGTCATTTATTGAGGACCAGGTGACTTGGGGTTTGGTCATTAATTTTCAAAGCATCAAGAGTTCTTCTGAAGGTAAGCATGTCTATGGTTCCTGGTTTACCTATTCTTTCATTCTCACATTTTAGTTTGTCAATTGTAACTTAGTCAAATATGCTTTCCAGATAATGCAAGTGTAAAACCTGAAGATGCAAATTACACTGTTGACGTTCTTACAAGATGTATGGTGAGGAAAGAAAAATTTGGGAAAAAATTTGTTAAGATAGTCCCCATAAAAGAGGTTGGAGATCCTGTAGTTGTCTCAGTTCCTATCTCTCAGGTAACATCTGAAGCTGGAATCTATGCATTACATCTGCTGACTCTATCTTGCAATTCTGTTTACTATTGTCTGTTTGTGTTCTAGAAAATTGTGGCCTTTCTGTTAACATGGTATAACACGCTCATGTATATGTATCCCAACCTCTACACTGGTAAAGTGGAGCTTAGCAATAATCCAAATCCCAGTTCCCATTCCCCACAGTGGGGGTATTAAACATGCATGGTCCCCATTACCCATCCATGGATTGATTATAAATTACTTTTCTCACTGAAAAGGGGGGGGGGGACCCAAAGGATTTGGGAGTGTGAGTTACTTCCAAGAAAAATGAGATATTCTTACTGAAGAATATTCTCGAGGCCTTTTTCTCAAAACCAACTACCCAGACACAAGGTGGGAGGAGAACACTTCTGGGCCTGTTACTAGGAAAGCTGGAAGATTGAAAGTGCCAGCTCAGAACAATTCATCTAAACCTTTCACTTGCTGGTTCGCAGATTTCCTGATATAAGGCATAGATCCCATGGGATTGTTATTTGATTTACTACAAAGATTCCCGATTTTCCTAAGGATCCTTTGCCATGTTGCAATGTGCAAGCATGAATTTGGTCTGTATAGATGTTACTAGGAATGTTGGATCCTCTTATGTATTAATAATTTATGTGCCTTCTTCAAAGGACAATCCTTTGTCAGGTTCATTCTTTCTCATACTTGCTCACTATCACCAAGTATTTCAAATCTATGAAATTACTTGAAGCTGAACTGATCTTAGTATTCATCAGTTTACAAGTGATAGTGATCACCATGAATACCGTGGTACACCGGGAATTAGGTCCTAGTACTGGGCATTCACCAATCTGTCCCTCGTTTGTGCCTTCTCCCTGACACTTCAATCCGGTTTTTACCCTCCAGGTACCCTTTGGGGGTAGTAGCATCTCTGGTCTATCAAATCACTTCTGAACTTCCTATCCATTTGTGCTGTCCCTTTCCTCCCCTATCTGTTGCCGCTACAATTGCACAAAAACACAACCAAAAAAAAAAGGGGAAAGAAAAAGAAAAAGAAAAGCTTTGCAGGGAATGTAATGTAATGAGATTACTACACTGAAAATATGCAAACGTAAAAAATAAGTCAAATCACCACTTCCTCCAAGAAAAAGAAGGCATGCATTATTCTCACTTGCAAATTTCCTGAGCCCTTTTTCTCATACAGCAACCCAAACAAAACTTGTTAGGGGAACTCTTCTGGACCTGTTACAATGGAATAGTTACCCTTCTCTGCCCTTAGCTTTGGTTGTAGCTGGAATTGCATCAACCATATAGGGAGGCAATATTGTAGTGCCATTATTAGAAACATCAGAAATCTTACCATGCGAGATTGGGATATTACTTTTGACCATGTTTACAAAGAAGTCAATAAATGCTTCGATTTAATGGCCTACAAGGCATCAATAGAGAATTTTGACATTAGCTTATTTGATACTCCGCCCATTGATTGTAAAAGCTTTATAGCTTTGGACATAACCGGATTTTGGTTACCTTACACGGTTTTACTGTGGCCTTGTGTTAAAAAAAAAATAATAATAATACTATAGTACCATTGAGGAGAAAAGGGAAAAATTAATAAATGGATAGAAGAGAATATAATTTTCTTGGAGCACACCAATGCTGAGTTTGTGTAGTACAATATAGTATGGACAATTCAATGCAATAATTTCAAAAGCTCAGCCAACTCTAGAGTTTTGACAACTTGTATCTTATTCTTGAAACTATATTTTATATTTGCTTTTCATTGATTTTTTCCTTTTAATTTTATATAAGCTTTTGGTTCATGGTAATAAACATAAACATACCTTTGTGAAGGTTCTTAATTATGTGTTTAGGATTTTGATATTCGCAATATACAATTTGACCTTTAGGGGCCTTGGCTATTGAGCATTCTTATCCTTTGTGGTTATGATGTTTGCTCAACTGTTTTCTGCCTTGTATTCTGAATAGATTAACACAATAAGCAGTCTGCGCCTATATATTCCAAAGGATCTTCTGTCATTGGAAGCTCGGGAAAACATGCTGAAGAAAGTGTCAGAAACTCTTTCTAGATTTGCTGAAAAAGGGTTGCCCCTTCTAGATCCTGAAGATGACATGAAGGTTTCTCATCTGTTTATCATAGCCTTGTTCTCTTCATCCTTTTGGGTTTAGTTCCAACAAAAGTATTGTAGTTCTGATTTCTTTTCTTTTTAGGTTCACAGCAACTCTTACAAAAAGGCATCTCGGAGGTTAGAGGCTTTGGAGCGGCTGTTTGAGAAGCATGAAATCGTAAAGTCTCCATGTTTGAAGCAAAAACTAAAAGCTTTGCATAAGAAGCAAGAACTGGCTACGAAGATAAAGTCAATTAAGAGAACAATAAGAAATTCTACTGCTTTGGCTTTTAAGGATGAACTTAAGGCAAGAAAGAGAGTTCTTCGGAGGCTAGGGTAATGAAATTTGTTGATGTGTGATATATTAATTGCAGTATTGATGTTTTTGCGAGTCTCCTGATTGACTAGGTGTGTGAAACGATATTCAATTTTAATTTACAGATATATTACAAGTGAGAATGTCGTGGAACTGAAAGGGAAAGTTGCTGGTGAAATTAGCACCGCTGATGAGCTGACCCTGACTGAACTCATGTTTAATGGGGTCTTAAAGGACATAAAGGTGGAGGAGATGGTTTCTCTGCTCTCTTGTTTTGTCTGGCAAGAGAAGGTCCATGATGCTGCTAAGCCCCGGGAAGAACTTGCCCTGCTCTTTTCTCAATTGCAAGAAACTGCTAGGAGGGTTGCACAACTTCAGCTTGAGTGCAAGGTAATGACGGAATCCATTGTTTCCCTGCCATCAGATTATTTGTTCATAACTAACTGTGATCATGCATACTCTTGTACCGAAACACAATACGAAAACAAAATCAGGTTCAAATTGATGTGGAGAGTTTCGTGAGTTCATTTAGGCCTGATATTATGGAGGCTGTTTATGCATGGGCGAAAGGATCGAAATTCTATGATATCATGGAAATTACTCAGGTTTTTGAGGGTAGCTTGATCAGGGCAATTAGACGACTCGAGGAACTTCTTCAGCAGCTAATACAGGCAGCCAAATCCATTGGAGAAACGCAGCTCGAGGCTAAGTTCGAAGAGGCTGTTTCAAGGATCAAGAGGGACATTGTGTTTGCCGCATCACTCTATTTATAGGATAGTTTCTAGCTGAAGACAAATGATAAATTACGTAGTAGCGTGGGATTACCCACCATCAATTTTGTAGTATATGACCGTACAGTCACCAACATGGCAAATCTCTTAGCTAGTGCTATATCGTCAGGCTTTTAAGGGTAGCTTCATTAGAGCAATTGGATGTCACTGGCAGCCAAGTACATTGGAGTAACCTAGCTTGAGGCCATATTTGAAAAAGCTGTTTTAGAATATGAAGCCAGTGCAGTATTGTAACAGAGGACACCAATGTTGAGTATGCGTACAGGCAAAAGTGCAATTTCCTTCCTTCAATTTTGGAGTCCTCGTATGTCCAGTCAAAATATTTTAAATTATTTGTAACAGTTTATTTATTTATCTAAAGTGTGCATAAGCTACTTTCATGTGCGCCTGTTGCACGCGTACGGTTTAGTGCTTGGATGAAGTGCTTACGAGGTGAAAGTTATTTTATAGATTATTATAAATGTCACGTTTTGTTAATGAGAATAACATAGTGATGAAAAGGAAAAAAAAAAAAGAAATTGAACATTTGAAGAAGAAAATATTTTATTTTATTTTTCGAACTACTTAAGAATATTTTTTAAATTGTAGTCATTTGAATTATTGTTATTTTTTACATTTATTGTTATTTTTACATTTAATTTTAGGATTTCTAAAATAATTTTAGTTTAATGGAGATTATGGTTGAGACCTATAAATAATGTACTAATGTGTTTGTTTTGTATGTGCTTTTAAATGAAAAGAATTGTTATTGTTTTGCCCCTCCTTTGGGTCTCTACCTAATTAGCATGCAATTTCGTGCTTTGCATGGAAGCAAATACTTCCACTACACGAGATATAAATCATTGTAAAAAGGCAATCCAATTAACAAGGCAACTCTTAAACTGAACAAACTAGCATACAACGGGGTAGGGTGGGTCTCAACCACGTTTAATTACTATCACACAAATCAATCAATTGTCGAATGCAAATTTTTAGAAATTTCTATGTAAACATCATTTGTAGTTGTTGACTATGACCTATTCTCACTATTGTGTAAAAGAATCTTCAACCCCTCTACTCCCTGCCCTTGAAAGAGCAACATGTAATTGATCATGTGTAAATATGTGTGGATAAATACAATTCAATATGACATGATGATTGACTTTGACTTTTATCAATGGTTATAGGAAATGAAAGAACACTTAGAAATTGCCTTCTTTGCATATGGAATGACCACCTACTCTCTAAAGGAGTCATATCTATGTGATGTGTTAATATTTTTTGATTTGGTCTTGAACTATTCAATATTATAGCTTCCATTGCTATTTTGCCAAGTTTAGTGATGCGTAATTTAGTTCCATTGATAAACCTAAAGTTTGATTTATATTATTCAAAAGCATAATAGGGGCTCTAACCTCTAGAGTAAGTTGATGTGAAGGTAAACCAAAGCTATTAATCTTGTTAAGAAACTTAGTTGTGCATAAATCTTTAAAGCAATCGGTATTTTGAGTTGATTGACAACACAATTGTAACCATTGGATCTATGTAGTTAGTTATCAATAATTGAGGGGGAATATCAATTTCAACTATACCATTATGTGATAGTCCAAGCTCTCCATCACCCATGTCTAAGAACCATTTTGAAAGTTTCTCAATTTTACCACAGCTCGTTGATAACAATGATGATGTTAGATTCATGTGCTTAGTTAGTTTGAATATTCTTCACTAATCCAAAAATAAGATGAACTAATACATGCATTCATCATGCTTGCTCCCTTTTGGAATTACATGAAGGATTTGATAGAAGTAACCAAAAGGTTGATCACAATGCATAATATCTTTGAGCATACGGTCAAATGCTTCAATGCAGTATCGTTGGAAGCTTCATCCCAAATAATTAACTTGGTGTTTTGAATTAGATGTGCTAAAGGAGAATTTTGTCTAATAGAGTAAACAGAATCTTGATTTATTTGAATTAGGACAGCAAACCTTGAGTGAGTTGTTCTCCTTGAAGGTAGCAATATTGCAACAATGCCACTTGATGCAACCATGAGGACAATGTTTCCTTTTGCATGGCTCTGTTACTAATTGATAGGTACCTAAGTGAGATGAGGATATTTGGATTGCCTTTGTTGAGGAAAACAATTGTTTTGAATTGATTGCTTGATGATAGTATCATTGTTTCCTTGCAAAAACACAAATTGGTATTATGTATGATATTTTTGAGTGAAAAACTGAATACTACTATAAATAATGCAAATGAAAAAAATATAAATAACCTTTTAGCCAAAAGAAGAGAACTCTAGGATTGATACACATTAAGGGATAGGAAGTGAAATTTGTATAGATCCAAGGAGAGTCAAAAGTGATAACATAATGTTCACTTTAACATTACCAAATTATATGCACTCTCAACACACAAAGTAATCAGAAGTCCTTAAACCTCTAAATTACCACAAAACACAAATATTAGCAACATAGAAATTAATTCTTTAAAAATTAGGATCTCAAAAATATTTCAAAAACAATTTAAATTATCAAAATATAATTATTTATGCACAATGAAAGTATTTAGAAATGCATAAATACTATATAATAGAAAATATGGGCAAATTAGTCATTTTTGCCTAAAAAAGACTAGATACCACAACATACGACACATGCACTGCGGTATGTGGTACAGAGGTACAGAGCCACTCAGTCACATTTTGTACCATGAGTCATGGAATGGACATCATGCATTGCGGTGCACATGATAGTTTTTCCTGTTATAGAAATTCGTATCTGACAAACTTTTGGTGTGTGCCATTTTCACATACGATATCTGATTGGAGTGATTCAAGATGTAACTTATTTTACAATCTAACTAATGACATAAGTTTTACCTCAATCCAATATTTATTTTAAAAATTGAACATCCAGATGTAAAATGATCATTTTATGTCATTTCCTCTCTTGAGCTTGCCAAATCAAAACCTTATGTCATTAGCCACTATTAGGACTTTGACCACATCCAATGAAATATTTTCTACTAATTGAATAGTTATATCAACAAAAACATAATTACATTCAAATTTGGCCCCTCAAATGCCCTTTTTCACATCATAAGAGAGCTTTTTTCACATATACACACATAATCACTTTTGGTCAAATTTCATACACCACAACCAATTGAAAACACATAATCATGCACTTGTACTTGTATCTTAGCCCTCTGTCACATTTCACATCATTTCATATATTTTCACATCTTAAGGCTAAGATACATACACATAATCACATGAGTGCAACTAAAATACACGCATGCATTCCTATGACAACTTATTAATATACACATAATTCTACAAATTCAATACGTAGTTTCAAATGGGCAATTGTAGTAGTTCTACTATTTCTGGCCTAGGTCTTTCCTTCTACTACTACCAACATTTGAACCTATAAAATAGCAATCATGAGGTGAGACAGAGGTTCAGTTACCAAAATAATCCAAAACTATTTATAATACACATTCTCCATGTCAAAATCATCATATAAACTTAACAACTCCTCATTTCAACACAATTCATAAGGTGAAAATACTTAGAGTTTGCTTTGCAATTATGACCAATTTTAGATTTGATAAAACTCATATGATTCATGATATATTCTTAATCACAAATTCAATAATACATGCAAATAAATCCATTTTCATATTATAATTCAATTAACAAAAAACTACCCAATATAGGTTTCTATCGATTATCTCAAACCTTTGAGAGGTTAAAGGTTTATCCCTCAACAACTTGCTTTTAAGCTTGTTTTCCAAGCCGAATATGGTGCCCGAATGATTAATCTACAATTAATGAAGTTCAAACTCATCAACATTGTCAGATACACACTTCCAACTCTTATTTTCCATTACTAAAATACTCAAATCCATTATTTCTCATATTTAGGCTTATCCATTAGGTATATTAACTCTCTTGAGCTCCTATTAGCTTCATTAATTGTTTCTAGGGTCATTAATTTCTCCCAACAACCTCATAACTCATATTTATTACCCATTTTTCAGACATTAATGGCTCCAAACCACCATTAATGTATAAACTCATAATTTCTAGATTTAAATACTTAAAATAACTCTCATTAACTTCATTTGAGTCAATGGATTTGGGCCCATAACCTAAATGGATCAAAAATGGTCTCTATTATCAAAGCTTAATCAAAAGTTTCAAGAAAATGGATTAGGAAGGAAGAATAACAAGCTAGGAGACTTACCTTTGGGGTTTAGCAGCTTTAAAATGCTCCAATCTCCCTCTAGAAGCAAACTCTAAAAGATTCCCAAAGCTTCCTCCATGTCTTTCTCGCATTTTCTCTCCTTTTCTTTCTATTTTCTATCGTAGTTCACATCTTATTTCTGTAGAAAATGTATCATGTGTCGCAGCACTTGTACCATGTACTATAGCATATGGTATAGAGAGGTGAGTTTGTGTTCTAGAGGCTCATGTGCTACGGCATGCCGTGCGCGCGCCCTAACATGTGGCATAGAGCTATTTCCCTTTTTTTCTCACTCTTTGATATTCAGGTGGCCTGACTTCACTCTAAACTTAATCCTAAGGCTGAAATCACAACCAAAATACCCGTTAGATCTTTGTAACCACACACCACATTAATCTTTAGCCATCTATTAACTTCATTTAACAATTAAAACTTGATTATCTTGCTAATTAACTAAGAATTATAATTTGAGATGTCGCACTTGATAGGTAGCCCTCTCTAGAATTGTCAACAACTAGGCTATGATACCAATTAATGGGTACCTAAGTAGAATAGGGAAACCTACCTAGAAAGCTATCTATTGAGATAAGGGAACTAATGCACTTAAACATTCTAATGGGCATTACATACCACTTAATATGGAACTTGGGAGTTAGTGCTAGCCCCCTAAGGAAAGCTAGTGTCTTGGCAGTGGCACTTATTACACTTATGTTAGCCTCCTACTAGTTAGAAACTTCCACAAGTAGTCCTCTCTAGAACTGCCAATAACTAGGCTCTGATACTAATTAATGGATACCTGAGTAGGATGATGATATTTGCACTATCTTTGCTAAGAAAACAAATGATTTAAATAGAGTGCTAAGATGGATAGTATTGATGTTTTCTTACAAAAAGCCAAATTAGTATTGTGTATGATTTTTTTTTAGTAAAAAGCTATTTGCCTCTGTGTTATATGTCGTGCCTAGCACGTCCACCTTGGCACACATGTAAAAGTTTAAATTCCCATTCATCATGAATAACATATAGAAAGAGAGGAAAATATTAGGGTTTAGTGTTAAATTAATGGTGCTCTGGTAAGGCATTGCTTACTCAAAGGGTTTGGCACAATTTTAGAGCATTTAAAACTTGAGGTAATTTATATAATCCTTCTTATACCCTCTAATTTCCATTCT